CTCCAGAGCTCTTCACCACCCCTCCCTCCTCTGTCCACCCTCCTCTGGCTCCATTTCAAGRCCCGGGGTTCAGTGAACATATTGATTCAGCCTCCCAGCAGCCTTTCCTGAGACTCAGTCCTGTTGGTTTAGCTTCCCACCCTAAGCCCACAGAGGGCAAGTAGGCTTATCTCGCCCCAGATGATTCTTGTCACACAAGGAATATATCTAGTTACCAAACGAAGAAAAACAAGTATTTATCATGAAAAGCCAAGCATTGTCCTGGATACGGCTGAAGAAACAGTGTCCAGAAGAGCAGAACTTTTCTCTTGAGAAGGTTCTATTCTTTTCCCTACTGTGCAAAGAGTCCATGGTGGTCAGCTGTGGTCAGGGCTACAAGATAGAATCATGCACTGTTGTGTGTGGGGAGGAAGCACCCAGCTTCCCTGGCAAGGAGAAACTTGCAGGAGGAGTCCAGCCTGTTATATCAAAAGAGTTGACCACTGCAGATGCAGCCTGGGAACCCAGGGCAGCATGTGGGCCTGGGGTAGATCATTGCTGCACAGACACCAAGTTAAGGACGGTGGGTTTCCTCTAAGCAACATGGGACACTGTGCTAGTTTCCTAGGTGGTGATCTGAAGCAAAGTACCACAAAAGTGGGTGACTGAAAGGCGGTAACTTGGATCCATATGGTGGATTGACATCTCCTCTCCTGAAATGCCGTGCAATCCCTGTCCAGTACCTTTCACAATTATGAGATGATTTGGGGTGAGGGACTTGTGGCAGGGGGTGAGGCACCCACCACTGCTGCAGGCAGGCTGACCCTGCCCACTGCCCAGCTCTTCCTTCCCTGCACACAGTACCATGAAGTTGATGTAAGAGGACACTGAGATGTCCCCCGCCTTCTCATGTGTGACTTCTCCAGCAGTTGCCACCCACTCAGTACACAACCCACAGGATGGGGTTTTGGTCACGGTCACAGCTAAAAGTCACGTCTACACTGACACAAGGGGAGACTTCATCCACCCAGGTCAGGGGGAGTGAGCCTGTCTGCCCTAAGTCAAAGCAAGTGAATGCTCTACACTGGCTCAAGGCAAGTGAGTTCCATCTGCACTGGCTCAGGTATGTGGGTCTCTCTACACTGCAGAGGGAGGCCAGTGCTCTAGGCCTTGGAAAGGATGGAAGTGCACCCYTGCCCTCATCCTGAGGCCCCACCTTTCTTTAAATCAGCCAGTATTTTGACCTTTGGAACAAGAATTTTATGATACAATTGGTCTGAAACATATTTATTCAGAAACATCTCAGAAGAATGGGGAAAAGGATCCAGGGCAGAGCAGGGCAAAGTGTCTCAGGCAGAGCAGTCTGACATCTTCCACAGGTGGAGGCAGAGGAGACTCAGGCCCTGTGCTGGCGTCTCCTGGCTCAGCTCTGCACTCCTTGGAGCCTCACTGTTTATGGACATGGCACATTTCTTCTGTCTTTGAAGCCACTTGATTGCTGAGATGGTCTGCAGCAGCAGAGGCTTCAGGCACAGGTAGCGGTCTTCCTCCTCACCCGCTTCAAGGCATTTCTGTGGCCATGGCCTGGGCCTGTGGGTGTATCTTGGGAGGAGTGGCTGCTGCCTTTCCTGGCCCACCTAACGAACATCATCTAGGGATTGGACATGAGGGACCCAGAGTCAGACTACAAGGCTCCCCTGGGAGTGGGACCCTGCAGGCAGGAAGTGGAGAGGAATGGCAGGCAGGCGGTACATCTGATGCCCTTATGGCCTGGCTCTTGGGCTTCCTCAGGCAGCTGAGTGTCAGCGAGCAAGAGGCAGGTGCTCAGAGCAGGCTCGCTGGTGCTCCTCTCCAGGAGGACAGGGCCATCGGAGAGGTCCTCAGGGCATGGATGAGGCATAACCCTGGGAGGCACAGGCTTCCCCTGGAACGTGCACCCTCCCCCCTCCATTTTTGGGGCTGGAGGATCAGGTAGGTTGCCATGGCCACTTGGAATTTTCTCTTGGCCAGAGATACCCAGGTTTTGTATGTATCAAAGCCCATGTCAAACAGGATGGTCATGAATGTGGTGGGATCTGGATGTTTGTGTTTGGGGAGTGCCTTGCTACAGTGATGGGGTACACATGGTTCACCCTGCCTCAGCCATGGGTGCTGTAAGATTTGCTTGACCTTAGGCCACTTCTTGGGGTTCACATTCAGTATTGTGTGGATGAGCTTTCCTGCTTTGATGGGAACAGAGTAAGGGACAGGTACCTTGCAAAATGTGCATCATTAGAAGTCCTTTCATCTACCTCATCACTAATAAATCTTCCCAAATGCTTTTATTCAAATCACTTGATTTTCTTGAACTGGACCTCAACATTCATACCAAAAGTCTGCCATGTAGATGGTGGGAATGAGGCTAAGCACACAAGCAGTTACAAATTCTCTTCTGGCATTCAGACTGCTCGCCTTAACCTCTTGCTCCACCAGATTCACACTTCAGCTCAGACCTCAGCACCCTACCTTCCTCACACCTCCTCTGATGTTCTTTTCTGAAGAGCCTGCCCTCTGTATAACAGGAAAAGGGAACTTTTGATTCAGAAATGGTAGGAACAAAACTGAGCCAAGGTTTGGGAGCACTTGCAGGGAGGACTTTAATTGTGGAATAAGTAGGACTTCCACTGAAGGGAAACAGCACTGATGGAGGAACCAGACAGCTTCCCTAAAAAAGGAAGATGGAAGGTTTTAATTGATATGCTGGGGTGGGCTAGGGTCTGGTAGTTTCCCACTGGCTCAGAGCGTGGTTCCCAAAACTATTTTTTTTATGAGACTCAGACACCAGGTAGTAATAGTAGAGTTGTCCCAGGATTTGCTGAGCTACTCTTGAAGCTGCCACCATCATCCTGTGCAAATGTCCTGGCCTTGTAGCTTGATCTGGGTCCAAAAATAGCATAGAAGGACCTTGGATGCTTGTGCTGCTACAGCTGGTGGAAAAGCACCAGGGTGGCAGAGTAGAAGAAAACATATAGCAGCTCCTACCACCAATCAGTATGTCTACAAGCAGAGCTGAGTGGAATTGACCCAAGTGCTAAGGCAGCAAAGGGGACAGAGATTAATATGAAGACAGAGATAACCAGCCTTTTCATTCCATCCCAGTCACCTATCAGACACCTACTGCAGGCCCAATGAAGTCAGTGTTTTCAACAGAAGTGGCCCTCAGGTCCCTGAAAAGTAACCTAGGCCACCTTTATCATTATAATCCACATCAGAGGTGTTATCTACAGTAAAGCTACTAGGAAACCAATAATGAATCCACTCAGCTGTGTGACCTCCAAAATTAGTGATTTTTAAGTTGACTAGGGATAGGCAAAGCTAGAGGGTTTGCTTCAGTTATTCCCCTAGTAATAATTCCATCTTGTGCAAATAKTCAGCTTCTGTTTTCATGAGAGTCTTGCTGATAGATCTGTGGTGAAAAGCACACAAGAGTAGAGAAAAATATGCTATGCTACAAAGGGTGACAGTCTATTATACCCAGGAGTTTGTCATTGTGTCATGTTTTGTCTCCCTAAATTCTCAAATCATCCTATAAACTGATCACACCCCCCTGAAATCCTTGTTCCAAGTGCCCTTATTTCTTCAGAAAATACCCAGAGTGTCATACAGAGGAGGGAGAAGGATGATATTGTTTGATGTGATTTATCCCTCAAAGGTTCCTGTAATGGAGGCGTGGTCCTCAGTGTGGAGATGTTGAGATGGAGGGAAGCTTTAAGAGGTGGGGCCTCTCAGGAGGCAATCAGGTCATGAAAAAGACCTTGAAAAAGATTAATGCAGGTCTCAGGCAACTGGGTTAGTTCCTGTGAGAATGGGCTGCTATATGGAATGTGGCACCTCCACCCTCCACTTAGCACTTATGCATTGGTCCCAACGCTATGATCTCAGTCACCATGAGTCCCTCTCCAGAGCCAAGCAGAAGCCAGCACCTTGCTCTGGGCCTCCAGAAATATGAGTTAAAAATCACGCTTTTTAAAAAATTCAAGTTTCCAGTCTCAGGCATTTCATTATAGCAACAGAAAACAAACTAAGACAACGATGAGTGTGAAACCAGCAAGCCCTTGCTTACCACTCAAATTCCTTTCCTCACCTCAGTCCTAATTCCCATGTTCCCTGATGCTCACCAATTCCATTCTGTCACCACAGCTTGGGCATCACAGGGAAAGAGGACCAGGTGCAGAATGAGCATGAGACTAGCAGCAGTGAAGTCAGAGGGCAACAGTGGAAGTCCTCCCCACCATGCCTTGAAAAACAGAACCTGGCCCATCAGTTTCTCCCTGTAATGCTGAATGCTACAACTGCATTGCCAGCCAGTAACACAACTGGCTGYAGAAAACTTAGCCACTTTTTTTTTGTAATAATATTTGCCATGAAGAAATCCACCTGGTATGTAACCACACAGTTGTTGTAAACGACCTTACTGTGAATGGCTAGGTATACCTCTGACCCCTGGGAGCAATTTAACTTTACAAGGCAGGGGGCAGTGTGTGTGTGAATATACCCATTCCCCATCACAATACAGGAAAGTAGAGATGCACGTGGAAAAGGGACTGATTTCTCACTGGCCCAAGTTACCCACTCTCCCACCTCCATGGAGTCTTCTAGAGAGCTCACAGAAATTTTAGAATTTTGAGCTCCCCACAGGAGGTTCCTGAGATGAGCCCTCACCCCTCACCCCTCCTCACAGCTCTGCATTCTACTCTAGACTCCCACTAAAAATGGGATGAGATTTTCATGCCACAGTGGAGAAGAGAGAAGCACCACTTGTCTTCTTATGCCTGGAGAAGGGCCAACGGTGATGGCAGTTATCTGCCCACAGTGAAGCCACGGGGTCCTTCCCAGCTGCAATGGGGTAGGTGACAGCTGATCCCCGACAAGGTTGAATGAACCCAGCAGCCAACATGACCACAGACCCACAGAGAAGGGCAATTTCAGATCCTGGAAAAACATCTCACATGCAAACAGTAGTCAACAGGGGACTCCAAAATGGGCCCTTTATTTCTGAATTGTTACACTGCACTGATAAGGTCACTTGGGTCACAGGCACATGGTGGAGTGTCAGAAGAAAAGTGGGTCAGAGGGAGAAAGCAGAGGACTGCACCCAGGGATGACTGTTTCCTCACGGAGAAGAAACTCGGCCGCAGAACAGAATCCCTCTGGTCCTGCTGTGCTGGATGAAGAAGAGGAAGGGATGGTCTGCGCAGAAAAGTGGAGGACTGCACAGCAACATGAATTCACAGGCTGTGGCGGCTGCAGCTTCAGTACCCTCCTCATTGACCTCCACAAAGGACTTGTGCACGACCTTGGACAGATACAGGTCTTTCCTGGATGACATTCCAGAAAAGTCTGCCCTGGCCTCTTCGAACGCATCGGTCATGCCCAGGCTGCGAAGGACTTCCTCCAAATCATAATTTTCCTGTAGCTTAAACCGAGGGAGGAAAACCTCCACCTCCTCTTCGTCCATCATGTCTGGGTTGGTCCACTCTATGTATTTCTCATAAGTAAGTTCCTTCTCCACCTAGAAGGGAGTTGAACATGTCAAGACAGGGCTCATGCTGTCACACAGGGCCACGTGCGATAATGGAGATGCTCCACGTTGTGATTGCGAGCCTCACCTTGGCCAGAGGTGGTGCTAGTGGTAACCAAGGTAACTAGACAGAGCTCAGGGACAGCTCTGCAGGAGACCTTACCTAGCATCTGCAAGGCCCTGGGTTCCATCCCAGCACAGACACAACAAAATAAGATAAAATAACAAGCTAACTGGGAATGGGGAAAGCAGCTACACCAGAAACCCAATGCCCTTCCCCTGCCATCACGGCCTCGTTATGGCTTAGTGCTCCTTACCGTTTTCAAGTCAATGTGTTCATCGGGCAGCATGATGATCATACTCAGCTCCTTGCTGACGTAGGGAAGGACCAGAATCTTGGTGAATATTTCCCCTATATAGGTCATTTTAAAAGTAGACTTCTGAAACATCATTTGCACAGGCTTCTCCTCATTCTGTAAGGAAA